ATCATATAAGCATTGCATCGTCCCATGTAAATTGGGACAACATTGAACCGGACCAGTAGAGGATCACTGATTTCACTTCAGAATAGTTAAAAATACACAAACTTATTTTTTTGAGTAATTATGCAATTAAACTCTTCTATTTACTTTCTTGCTCTTCCGTAGTATCGCAAAGTGGAGCACCATTGGAAAACGATTAAACACTGCCCCAAACAACAAACACCAAAGCATGCCTAGCCAATGAGGTTGCATGCACAGATCCCCACACATGTGGGGAACGACTCTGTTGTGTAAATCATCAACACATTGTATGCAGTGAGGCAGTGAAATGACTACCTTGGTTCTTAGATGTTTAAGCTAATAAGCAATTTCTAAGTTAATAAGCAAGCAAAACATCGATATTTCAAAATCCCATGACTTTCGGCAAGTACTTACTAAATCTTAAGTCCATATAACAAATCAAAACATTTTGAATTCAACCAAGAGAGAAAGCTAGCAATCATACGTCAGCTAACCTAGCAACAATGACTTCGATCGACACAAAGGTCCGATGGTCAACGTTAACAAAAAATCCCACTGCTAAAATCAATCCAATACTAGTTTCACAATTACAAATTGTGTTAAAAACCAAAATGGATGAAAAAGAAAAGAAGAAGCATTCCCGAGATTAAGGCATTTATATAATTAGACGAAGTGGACAGAGATCAGTAAAAAGTTGGGGAGGGAAGTGATAATCTCTGCAGTGGCTGCTCGGTAATAAACAATGACACTAAAAAAGGACTGTAAAAATATAAAACTATCCGAAAATTTGAATTAAGCCAAGAAGTTTTTTTTTGTTATTTATCTTAGATGGTTTGTAAAATGAAAATGCAACAAACCAGTATATACCTTTCATATAACTGGATGATCCCCACGGTCACTTAAACCATCTTAATCACTTCTTCGTTTGCCAAGACAGTACCAAGAGCAGGGCACCAAATAACCGGCACTTCAGTGTGAATGTAACAAAGTAGAGTATCAGATATGTGCAATGGCGAAAATGATAGAAATTATCACCGCCACTATCTCATTTATACTTGATACGCCAATCCTCTCTTTAATAGCTGAATAAAGATCCATTGGGTATATGTATAATATTATGGTTCTGTTGTAGAAATTTCACCATCCCATAAGTTACAACTGTCGTCATTAATAAAATTTGATCAAGTTGTGAGAAATTTTTTATGTTTGAGGATTTTCTTTGTATTCTTGAGGGCAACTAATTAATCCCAGAGTTAAATATCTTTTAATTATTATTGCGTAACTTATTGTACCTTCTTTCATTCATTTTGAATTGCATCTTATTAAGGGATTAAAGAATAGCTCTCTAATGGTAGGTGGTCTGAGATGTTGATTGCAAGGTTTGGAATATCTTTTACTATATGCTTGATTACATGAGTACATGCTTTATCATCCAAGATGCAAGTGAAATTCAATTCTTGATTCAAGTCTGACTATATGCTTTACATGAGTACATGCTTTATCAGAAGTGACATATATATCGGCTGAATACTCACGCTAGAACCAATTTACATTGTCAATCTTAGCCGAGAAAATTAGAATGTTAGCCGACGATCATTTTGTAGGTGCAAATTCGATGTCTTGATAAATTTTGTTTTGACGAGTAAAATTTGGCGGAAACTTTTCCCGCTATATGGAAATATTAGCCGATGATGTGAGGCAACAAAGTATTTCATCAGCAAATTAATTAGAGAGGCAATAAAGTATGTCATTGGCAAAGTAATAATAACTCTACGTGAGAGGTTTTCACCAGTGCACCTCTCCATTTTTTTCCGGGGAACGCAATCAAAGCTATTGGCGACTATTTATGCTCTCATTCTATCTTTCTTGTTTCTCTGTGCGAACGGGAGCATAGATAAAGAGATATCTAGCATTTCATATTTCTGGATTGTAGTTTTAGCCATCAATAACCTATATTGACAATTTGATTTCATTATGTTGTAAAACTGTAAATCTAGATCATGTAGTGAAAAAGTTCTTCCTATCAATTCTAACTCCAAACTACTTTCTAGCAACAGATAACTTGGTTTAGGTTATGATCAATTATTAGTCAATTACAATTGTAAATTTGAATACGGTTGTATGTAACCATCCATTCTAATTCGACAAGCATGCCAAGTTTTCTAAAAACATAACATATAATTATAAGAACAAACGTATAAATTTCCCAAGGCAATCCAAACCTATTTGGTCGGTTCACATCCCCCAATTGCATGATCTCTTTCCCATACTCTTCCTAATCCTATTTTGCCGCCTCATGATCTCCGTCCCATAATATTTTAATTATTCCAATTGTCGGTTCACATCCCCCAATTGCATCCCAATTGCATGCTAATCCTATTTTGTCGCCTCATGATCTCCCTCCCAATTGCATCCTAATCCAAATTGCTCGTGACATCCCTCCCATATTCTCGCCATTCGATTTCAGTTTCATAATAATTCTTATTTATCTTGTAACAACTTGGCAGGGTCTTTCCCGCTATGAAACAATTTTGACGATTCTATCCCTAGGTTTATATATTAGAGTTCTTGCACTCTTAGCTGATTTTATCATCTCTCTCGCTTCTCTCGCTCTCATGATTGTCTCCATAATTTTGCAGAAGATGCACCACAAGCAACCAGATTTGTTCTTACCAATGAATTCTAATGCACTTGATATATGTATTCACATTTAACTTAAACTTGTTCCTTTTTTTTTTTTTTTTTTTTCTTTTTTTGTAGATGCCAATGATTAGCCAAAAAAGGAAACGACCTCTTATGTCAACAAGACTCCTGCCTCTGCCATCCCAGTTACGATCTACATTTGCTATCAGAGTTGCTCCTCCTACTTTTCGTCAAGAGATTAAATAAATTATAGGCCTTTAATGAATTTTTGGTTAATATTTCGGCGAAAGATATAAACATACCTTGTTACACTTTAATAAAACAGGAAAACTAAAGAAAAATCCTTAAAAATATCATGTTATATTCTGGCTGGGATCTTCCCGCTCATAGATAATGTATATGAATCAAATAAATGAACGGTTTATCATGAATCTGTTACTTGGTACCAACAACGTCCTTTTGTTTCATACACACTACAACAGATTGGTCCTTTAGCGAGAAACGTTTCAGCGAGAACATTATCTTTCACACTGCAGAGTTGCTTTTGGCGAGGAAAATTTTGAGTTCTCGCAAAAAGTGAGCTCATTTGGTCTCCTTACATCTCTAAGAAACAGCGAGGAAAAAATAATTTCGGCAAGAAAATTGTTTTGTTGCCGTACATAATGCTAGCGAGGAGATATTGTTCTTCTCGCTCTAGGTTTAGCGGGAATTATATTCCCTTCCCGCCAATTAGTGAGGAAATTATTGCTTTTCTCACTGAATAAATTTTTAGCGAGAAAAATGGGTTCTTGCTGTAGCATTCCCGTATAATTTTCCAAAAGTTTCAAATAGGGCGCCTTGTATTCACATTTACAGCAGAAATTTTGTATTTGGGTCGCATAAATGTTCAGCGAGAAAAAAATTTCTCGCTGACGGCCCAAGTTTGTGAAACTTAATATTTCTAATTGTTATAAGGACAATACAATGTTATAAGGTTAATCCAATGTGTTCATCGTACTCTTATAGGGTTGAGGAGTGTATTTGTAAAAAAATAATCAAAATCGGAGTTAAAATAACCATTAAATCATGAGTTTTCGTTTATAACCGTTGAAAGGTTTCGTCCCGTTACCTAATATCTGAATGTCTGTTTTTTGCGATTTTTTACGTATGCAATCTTGGAGCATATACAAACAAGTTTGACGATTGGATCGTTGAAACTAGTTTTGTAGAATGTGTATTCCGTCAAACCGATAGATTCAACAAACACTTGGAGTTTATTTTATACTTCCATTAGGTAGAATCAGTGCAAATATTTTAAATTAAAGATCGAATTTTGTTCATAGTATTCTTATATGGTTGAGGAGTGTAATTGTAAAAAATCATCAAAATCGGAGTTAAAATAACTGTTAAATCGTGAGTTTTCTTTTATAACCGTCGAAAGGTTTTGTCCCGTTACCTAATATCTGAATGTCATTTTTTTGCGATTTTTTACGTATGCGATCTTGGAGCATATACAAACAAGTTTGATGGTTGGATCGTTGAAAGTAGTTTTGTAGAATGTGTATTCCGTCAAAATGATAGATTCAAGAAACACTTGGAGTTTATTTTATACTTTCATTAGGTAGAACATAATATTTTGTGGTATCCATTAGTGCAAATATTTTAAATTGAAGATCGAATTTGTTCATCGTATTCTTATAAGGTTGAGGAGTGTAGTTGTAAAAAATAATCAAAATCGGAGTTAAAATCACCGTTAAATCGTGACGTTTCGTTTATAACCGTCGAAAGGTTTCGTCCCGTTTCCTAATATCTGAATGTCAGGTTTTTGCAATTTTTTATATATGCAATCTTGGAGCATATACAAATAAGTTTGACGGTTGGATTTTTGAAACTAGTTTTGTAGAATGTGTATCCCTTCAAAACGAAAGATTCAGCAAACACTTGGAGCTTATTTTATCCTTTCATTAAGTAGAACATAATATTTTGTTCTATCAACTAGTGCAAGTATTTTAAGTTGAAGATTGAATTGGTTCATCGTACTCTTATAGGGTTAAGGAGTGTATTTGTAAAAAATCATCAAAATCGAAGTTAAAATAATCATTAAATCGTGAGTTTTCGTTTATAACCGTCAAAATGTTTCGTTCGGTTACCTAGCATCTGAATGCCAGTTTTTTGCAAATTTTTACGTATACGATCTTGAAGTATATACAAACAAGTTTGACGGTTATATTAGCTATAAGATTTAATCTTACATATGTGAGATTAAATCCTTACCGTTAAATTTAACCTAGCAATTAAATCATAAGAATGTTTCTGGCGGGCTGCCAAAATTTTGGCGTGGCGCCTAAAAACTAAATTTCCAAAGAGAAACGCGCGCTCTCTCCTCCTTTTCATTTCTCTCCCACAACTTCTCTGCCTTTCCTCTTTCAGAAACAAATGCCTAGCCTCCATCCTTCATTTCTCGAACTCTCGCAACTTCTCTCTCTCCATCGCTTTGTCGCAATCCACGGCCTCCTCTCTATGTCGCTTGCTGCCCACCACCGAAAATTCAAGAACCCAAGAGATCCATTCCAACAAAACACAAATCCACACCTAATCCTCATTTCCCAGACCCAGACTCACGAGACCAGTTCATGATGTCCAGATCAGGCATCGCCGACTCCGGCTTCTAAGGATTTCTATCAAATTTCGATCCGTTCGAGTTGTCGTAGACAGCCCGACTTCACTCTTCCCTCCGTCATCTTTCACTATCGATCCACCGCTGCATTAATTTGTCGGCCGTTTTGCAGGTGCGATTTAGAATCAGAAGCATGCACAGAATCTCCATCGCCATGGTCAGATCCGCCCCTCCATTTTCACTGCTCTTCATAAATTGGGCTCAGCCGGGCAAGTCAGGATCCCAAACCTCCTGGTCTTGCTGCAGACACACTCACAGGTAAAATTTTCTCACCTTCTACTTTTAATTTCGTCTCCGATCATAGTAGATCAAAGAAAAATAGAAGATGACTGTCTTATGATGTATTCTCTGTGTAGAAGCCTCCAGATCGAAGACGACACCAAGTTCTCAAATCCAAGATGAAAAGGTATAATCCACGCCTCTGCAACTGTTTGTCCCTGATATATATATATATATATATATGCCATTAGTTTTTTTTTTTAATTTATTTTTTTCGTTTTCCATGTTTTTATTGGAAAATGAAATAATTGTATTTTCTTTGATTGGATCGCATTTATGGATGAAACTATTTCGGTTCGAGTTTTATGATCTAGGTTTCCAATTTTTGGTTGATTTGGGCATCCATTTGTATAATATTTGTTTTTCCTTTCTATAACACTTGCAGGTTGTCTATGGCTAAGTGGAATTCTGGGCTAGATAGCTTACAACTGGTATCAGCACAGCATGGAGACCAGTGTGAGTATCATTCACGCCAGATAATTTTGATATTTGAGGATTAACTTGATTAGTAGGTGTCTATATCTTCTTGTTTACACTGATAAAGATTATAAACAGTGATGAATTAGGATGCTTTAGTATAGTTTATTTATGTTTTCAGGTGCATATGCTTATGTTCTAGAGTTATTATCTACTTAGCTAGGTGATTGGTATTGTTATGTTTATATAAATTATAGACCTTTCAAGGATTTATATCATCTACTTATGATTTGCTTGCTAAGAATACTACTCCTAGTCTCGAAAGTTTCTCCCTATTTCCTTCTTTTTCTCTTGAATAAATTCTCAAATCGTTGCTTGAATATGACTTCTCTAACTCTCTCGTTATTTGAATTGGAATGTTGATGATGTGGCACACCAAAACCATAAAAATAATAGTTCTGAACCTTTTAGGATAGTCTTAAACTCTTATAGAAGCTCTCCTTTTGCTTTGCACGTTTTCTTTAATTAAAACTTGTAAATCCGAAATCACCTTGCAAATACCACGTAAGGACAGACGTCCTGTACAAAAATCGCTATAACGTCTTCTACAGAAATCGGAATCATGAACCGTAAAATTCCTCTGAAAGCTAACTTCCATATCTTTTCAATGGTATAAGGCTCAACACTTGGTTCCTTCTGAGGAAGTGCAGTTTAGCTCATAAAGTTGGCTGACCTGCACAGTCAGTTCCTACTTCCAGGATACTAAACTCATTTCGATCGAAAAAGTGCTCTGTTTTCTTCTTTCTTCATCTTCACTCTTCAAACCTAAGAAACACATAAACTAAGTGAAACAAAGAAAATATTGAATTGCATTTACAAGATAACTTAGTAACATAATGACATTAAAAAACTAGTAAAGTAGAAAATAACAAAGAAAAAATTCAATGTCCTCTCTACTTTCTTATATGACATGTAATAAAGACCAGATGATCATGTTGCCTTGTTTACAGAGTGAGAATCATGTTGCCTTGCTGTTAATAATGTTTATCTTGTTGTTTACAGTGATGAATGACATATAAGTAGTTGATGCTAACTTGATTATTACCTGGTATCTATTAAACATGTAATTTTGCTAGGTTGTGATGCTGCAGGGCGTTGGTAAGTTAACATGATTAGTAGATATCTTTATCTTGTTGTTTACACATTTATGGTTTCATAAGTTATTTTTTTTAGAAATACGACTATAGTGTGGCCTTGCGTTTCCTTAATGTCAATGATATTTAGCACCCTTAATGTTTGCTAATCAAGTTTTTTTAATTTGTCTTTCTTCCACAGTTGTTTGATATTCTGGAATGTTTCATGATGATCCTCATTGTTTCCTGATTTAGTGATGCTGCATATCAACGTGATGAGGATTATAGTGAGAATGGTCATACTCAAGGATGTTTTATCTATATTATAGTAATGTTGAAATGAAAACATAGATATTTTTGTATTTTGTTACTGAACCGAATTGTGAACCTTACAATAGCTTATATTACAAGAATTTTGTGTTGTTCCTACATTAATTCTTCATTCCTGCCCCTTCTTGATCTCTTAAGCTTGCTTGTTTGTGATGGTTAAAAATATTATTAAAAAAATGCGAATAAAAATTAGAAAACATTGGACTTGGCATGTTTTGTCGGCACAAAAATAATTAGCCGACAAATGTTTTTGTTCACAAAAGATTCAACCAACCAATTATTTTGTCTACACAAGTAATTGGAGCTGACAAACCAGTTTGTTAGCATAGGACTACGTAGTCGAAAAACCATTTTGTCGCAACAAGATTACTTAGCTGACAAAATGTTTTGTTGCGACAAGATCATTAAGTCGACAAATAACTTCATTGCAAAAAAACAACTTATGTTGACAAAATATTTTGTCGCAATGTCGTTTTGGTGACGGGCATAGTTTGTTGGCTGAGATTTGTTGCCTTAAAAATGAGCCGACGAAATATCAAGATTCTTTGAGAAAGATCTTGCGCGACATGCTTTTAGCGACAAAATTGCCGACAAAATTTTTCGTTGGGAAAGGCTATTTGCCGACAAATTTTGACTTTTGCCGACAAACTAATTTTGTCGGCAAAGTGGAAATTTCTAGTAGTGACATTTGGTTTAATTTGGTTTTGGTTTCAGCTTCAGGAGTTTAAAACACTTTTTAGGGTTGTAAATAGGTTTCCACATGTATGTAAATAATATTGTTTTAATGGTTTGGGGATTATGGAGAATATACTTCAAAATTAAAATTCAATGGTAGTTTATTGGTGTAAATTATGTTACTCTCAATCATTTTTCTGTCATTTTTTACCATGCCTATTTTTTTTTTTTTTTCTTATAGCCAAGATAAAGCTCAAGGCTTACAACTAAGTTCCGCTATTTATTCGGTTTGATGCATTTTCAGTCTTTGTAGCTGACGGAATTACATCATTTCCAAAGTTGCAGACAAGGATTACAAGGTTTTTTCCGTTCTCTGGTATTCATTGGTTGAGTTTGTTTGCAACTGAAAATGTTATCTCAGTTAAGACTTAAGAAGAACAACATCTGTACAATATATGCTTAAGAATGTGTGGTTGGTTGTTTATAATGTTATCATGTTCTTATCAATTTAAAAACTATGGTCTGTATTTTTCAGTATTGTTTCAGCATTTTAGCCTGATGGGTTTGCTTGCACCTAATTGCAAACCTTTCATTTCCTTATGATTTAATAATCCGCTAAGTATTGATATTTAAACATAGACTTTAATCAATTCTTATTTCCAACCTCTTCATATGGGTGAAAATTAGAAATTTGCTGATTGTACTCGATTTAACTTTGGTAGTCTTTTAAACATAATTATTCATTTTCTTATTCATGAAATCAACTATTACTGCATTAATTATGGGTCCGTCTGGCCAACTCATTGAATTTACTCAAGGTGCTTTTTAACGCTATTTCTAAGATATTATTTCCGTTACTGTTCTGTAAGTTAGTGCTAATGGATATGCTATGTTTGCGATTTTCAAAAATTTGGATCGTTGGAGGGAGCACTTGGCCCTTTCCCTTTTGAGGTATATTATTTATGGTGATTTTGTGACTGTTGTTACATTTTTTTCATGCACGTTGGGACTTGATTTGCCTATATAATTGTGGCATCCTTTGACTGTGTATAGCTTTGATAACGGTGGAATGTGTAATAGCTATCTCTTAAGTTGGTATAATGTTAATGGTTTGTAGATGCTTAGCAGACTATCAATAAAATTGCTATGGATGAAATTGGGAAAGAAACTTAGGGAGATAATGTTAATTGTTTGCAGATGCTCAGGAGACTCTGAAACTGCTTAAATTTTATATATTGAGTTGCATAAAGTCCACTAACATACGCAACCAAAGTTAGATTGCCACCCTTATTTGGTGGTATTATCTTTGCAGTGCATTTAAAGTGGGGATTCAGAAAATCTAATAATAATACTGAATTATATGTTCAATGCTTTTCGTTTTCATTTTGGGTTAAAAGGTTGGAGCTTTGGATTGGGATTTTCCTTTGTTAAACTATAGTTTTGTGCTTAGGAGGCTATATGAAACTGCTTAATTTTTTCTTTTTAAACATGAACTTTTTTTTCACTGTAATCTGTTTTGTTAAAGGTAATGATAAAGATATATCAATTTTGTTTGTTTGGGGGGTTTACGATCAGAACCCTGAAAAGACCTTCAATGTGAAAGGCTTTTGGTTTCATAAGTCACAACAAAACTTAATACCAAATGAATAAAAATCTGACCATAAATGCACCACTTCTTTACTCCATATTTATGCACATATCTCCCAATATATATGCACTGATGAGACCTTAAGGAGGTTACGATATGTTTCCCAATTATTAAACAAACCAAGATAACTTAACAAGTTAAGTCCGATATCAAGCTAAATTGTAGGTTGCCTTTAATTATTATATCTTTATAAGAAACATTAGCTTATATGTGCACTAACTAAACTAAGGTAATCTATTATAAGTTTCCCTATGTCTTCGATCTCTTTACAGTGTGTGTGTTATTTGCGCCTGATTCGTTTTTCCCCTATATTTCCCTATGTTTTTTATCTTTTTATATGTGCACTAATTAATTTGATCAGTGTGTGTGTGTTATTTGTGTCTAGTTGGTGTTGGGTATTTTCCAATTTGGGGTCTTTATTTACTCAGTGTGCAATTCAATGTCTTATCTGGTTAGAGAGAACATAATGTTTGACAATAGGATGTTTGATATCTGATCCAATCTGGTTCTGTGGATATGCTGAATAAGTAGAGACTGTTTGCTGATTTAGTTGCTTATCGAGTATCTAGAGATTGTCTTTTTTCAGTAGATGATTAATTGTAGATGTAATACCCCTTGGTAGAAGGAAATTAAGGTGCATTAACGAGAAAAATCAAGATAATGTGTACCCAAGTGGATTAGTGCAAGCATCTTTCGAAGTGTAATATCTTTTGAAATGTATATAAAAACTAAGATGCTTATCTTATCGATCCCGTTCACTCATCTATCCCTTTGTTCATTCAGAATTATGTTTAATTTATTCTGGTTAAATGTGTTTTATTCATGCAGTTAAAGCCGGTGCATTCAAGTCCCGCAACAACGTGCGGGCATATTTACTAGTATATTCTAGAAAAGGCCCAGTCCAAATAGTCATTACTCATTAGTCAATATGCCCTATAACCTACATTAAGCTTTTCCTGGGAATCCTGGGGATTTCGTGATCGTGACCGTTCATCGTACATCGTGCGATCAGTTTTCGTTAGGTACTATTTATATTTAATTTTAAAATAATTTTTAATCACACGTTGTACAATGAACGATCACAATCACAGGATCCCTAGGATCCCCAGAAAAAGGATCCGGCGATGATCCTTTTCCTTTTCCAATTTGTCCCTTGAAATGTTTCTGCATATCAATATTCCAACCGAATTACTATTTTGATATTAACAATTTTGTATTATAGGAATTCTGACTTTTGCAATTCCACATGCATGTATGTACTGAAAAGAAATTAGTTTGCTCCAAAATATCATGTGATAGTTAATTTTCTCTATTATTTTATAACAAACGATGTTAGCAAAGAAGAGAATCAAACTCAAAACTACTCAATAAATTCTCTTAGATTATTTCACATGGCGAGCTTTCTGAGGCTTCTTCCGGGGCAGGGGCAATCTTGTTAAGGACAAGAGGGGGAACGCACACACCCCCCCCCCCCTTTCTCTTTTTTTCCCGTTCAAGTGTTTGTTTGGGAGAAAAGTCATCTGAGGGTCTGTTTAAATCGCAATATGCTTCTGTTGCTCGATATATCGAATTTTTTGGCACTCACACGCTGTATATGGAATTCCACAAGACCTGCATCTGCTAATGCTTAGTTATGCGTCCATCTAACTAACTTTCTAGCTTTGCTCCTGCTGACAAAGGGTACCAATGTTCTACATCTTTTAGTACACCACTGCAGTTATATTCTCTAAACTTTTTAACTTTTGATATTTACTTTTTGAATTCAAGTTTATGGGTTAACTAACATTGTTTTACATTTGTATCATAACAACTGCTATGTGCAAAATTTGGGCCACAGAAATCAACAAAATAAAAGTGGGCCTTAAGTAACATACCAAGATAAGCTAGTTTTTGTTTTTGTTGGGCAGAAGATAAGGTAGCTGTCTATAATATCACATTGTTCGTTTATATATTAATAAATGAATGTATGTCCAATGCCTACATGCTCATTGGAAAATGTCATGCATGATAAATGATATGAGTAGATTACAAAAGGGAGCTGTTATAGCACAAACATAACGCTTAATTGTAATTTCAGTAAGCTAATCAAAGAAGAATCAACGGCATAAACAACGGAATAAGTGCAGAAGCGGAAATCATTACCCATTTGAATATCATCTCCTTAAAAATTCTGTATGAGTACACATCTCATGTACACCAAAAATAATTACAATTTACATGCATTTGTTGTAATTGGCTAAAAACATGAGAGAGATTGAACAGTTTAGCACAAGTCCAATACCAGTCGTATAGACGAAATACAGGAAAGCAGAAATTAGCAATCAAACGCTAAGCTTGGCGCCAAAATCTGTGCTTACAAATGGTTCAATAATTTCGTCTAAGCAGGCCATCCGTATCCGTTCAGGTGTCGCGGGATTATCAAGTGGAAACCACTCATTAGACCCTACTTCTTCTCTTGCAGCTATTATGGCATCTTTGATGGCGAAGAAGACGGCTGATGCCAAGAAAAATGGTGGCTCACCAACAGCTTTAGATGAGTGGATGGCCTTCACATTTGGATGGCCCTGTCAATTAGTAAGGGAAACAACAAACAAGTCAGCAGAAAGAATCATTAACGTACGCTGGGTGGCCAAGTAAACTCGATCTCGATAAATACAATTGTTAGCAAAGAATTAAAGCTTTTCCAAACAGAAGCTAACTATCCTATCCAATTAACTGACTCAAAAGGAAACCTTTCCTCTACCCAACTAACCATTTTCATAGTTTTTTTATCACTGCATCCCAAAAACACGAAGCACAAAACCCAAGCTACTTGCTAATGATAACCCAAGGACATTCATTGACATCTAGAACCTCACCTGTAATACTCATAGACAAATTACATTCCAGAGTAACCTTTAATTGGATAACACGCTCTTCTAAAGTAATCAGCATACCTTCAGAAGTGAAACGCTGAATTTGAAGGGGACATCATTAATGGAAGGAATCTTATAATTTCCTGGCCCAGACATGTAGAGGCAACCGGGTGAGATCCATTTATGAGCAGGATCGCCCCACTTTAGTTCTTCTAGAGCTACCCATCCCAAACCTTGTAAAAATGCTCCTTCAATCTGCATAAGAAACATAATATTTATTGCGGTCGAATTGAAATAAATCACCAAGTTCAACCACCCCCTCCCCCATTTCATAAACGACACTAAAAAAACAGCAAGATTGGAAGTCTGGAACTAGATCGGGATCCAGGAGTTTGTTAGCATCTGCATTAATTTAGATGACTGAAGTAACAGATCACAAATACACTGAATAGTTTACCACATAAAATGGAAATGTTCTCTTTCTAGGCAAGTGCTTATATTGTATGAAACGTAGGCCATAGAGCAGACTAATTATTTCCTCGTCTCTTGCCAGATAAATGGTTATGTTGTCATACCGTGAATCTGGACTACACATTCTAACAAGAATCAATATCTCTTTCACTCTAACGTATTCGTATTTATGTGTCTATGCATATCTATATTTATGCAACATTTCTATATTTATGCAACATTTAGCATCAGTTCTAGCCCGATTTATTCCTATTGAAAGAAACCATACCCAACAAGGGATTACTAAACATAACTTAAGAATACCAGATGCAGTTCTGTTTATGAAATATAGCCTGTTGCAAGTTTGCAACATAGAGATCCCTAAAAAATGGGCTTCAGTAAGCATTGTTTGAGATAGTGCTAAACTTTCCATATCTTAAGGATCTTTACTGATAAATTACATAATGATACTAAAAAGAAAAATGGAGAAAGAAAAAACACCTGCCCAACATCAATTGCGGGGTTGAGAGAGTAACCAAGATCCAAGAATACGTTAGCCGCTCTAGTGTGAAAATCTCCCGTCAATGTATCAATTTCAACCTCAGCAAAAGCAGCCCCATATGTGAAGTAGTTGAATGGGTTCCCTTTACCAGTTGTCCAATCAAAGACATTTTCCGGTGTAATGTAAAACCCATGAGCAGAAAGATCTATCCGTTCCACATAGCATGCACTTGCCAGCTAACAATAATTATGAAACATGAAGCTAACATAAGTTTTGTACCATTAGAAATTCTCAGTGCAAAATGCTCACATAAGAGTCCATGTATGGTTTAAGGTTCAGGATTCAGGGGAGGAAAATGTTTGCAGAAGTTTGTGACTGATATAATATTATAGATCACCCTGTGGTATAAGCAATTAATAACACATGCAACAAAAACTTTATCTTGGAACATTTAAATCTTACTGACCATCATTTTCAGTTTGTTTTTGGATATATAATTGATGGCCTAACAATTTTATTGATTTACTTCTAATCATGCACAATGTTTTTCTCCTCTTTTTGCGTTGGGATTATAATTAACTTCTTTGTTTTGGAACGCTCCTGGTGAGTAAATGCCAAAGCATCCTAAATGCTAGTCATTTGTAGAACGAAGGAAATAAACTTGTACCAAAGACACGATTACCAAATTATGGAAGTCTTTAGAAACAATGGCAGAAAGAGTACCTCAGCAAAAGAGCTGAAATTTTTCTGTGAAGCAATAGGCTTCATACATGCCTTGATTTTCTCACATGCATCTAGAACTGCAGCTCCATATATGTCAGAACTCGCAGAAGCTGATGTTGGCGATGCATTAGGAACCTAGTTTATTAATCCAACAAAATACGAGCATGGGGATCATCAGCTTTGTAGGGCATATAGAAAAAATAAAACAGCAGAAATGGAAGGGAATCTAAACCAGTTATTCACACCTATTAATTTTTTAAAATATTTATTTCAAAAGCTATCCAATCATAAGTGATACAGAGAATTACAGGCTCTAATTCGTACACACATTCTTGTAAATTTTACTATTATCAAACACATTTCAACATTAGCTGCAGAAACAGCACTCCAGCAACTTCCTTGATATAATAAACTTGTGCAGAACGTGGAATCCTACATAGGGAGTTATAAGCCTTACTACATATTAATCTATGAAGTCCTGACGCTCTCAATCCGTTGCAATTGGTTGAATTGGATGGTCTAATTCTAACAAAGCTTAAGAATCCCTTTAGGACAATCACAGGTATCCTAAAGACCCATAAAACAGCAGAAACGGGAACAGCCCCTTGCCCTTTAGGCAGCAATAAGAGATCCAAATTGTGCACAAGATTTCCATCCCATATGACATATATAATAAATTGATACATCTATTACATTATCTTTAGCTTGGATGAATAAACAAGGTGCAAAATCTAACCGCCAAACCAAAGTTCCCAATAAGGAAATGAAACACTGTCAATTACCTTGTCAGTACTTGTCTCCGAAATAAAGACAGAACTGAGAGGGATATTGAAGGCGGAAGCAGCGACCTGAGCAACTTTTGTATGTAAACCTTGCCCCATCTCTACACCTCCCTGTGTGACTAAAACAGTTCCGTCTGTGTAGACATGAACAAGAGCACCTGCCTAAGAGTCATTTAAGAACGCCTAATCAGGATTCTAATAGCATATAGAAATGAAAATCAATTATAGACAAAAGATTGGATAGGGTGTTGGGTTTCTACCCACGCATCCCGGGTTCGAAACTCCTCCCTTCCCTTAATTATTGTAATATTTTCAAACCCTCCCCACTCCCCTTATAAAATTGTTCTAAAAAAAAAACAGTAAAAAATCTTTTTGTCCAACCTCTATTTTTCTAACAGTTCTATAGCGAAAAAAACATGGTTTATGAAAACTTACCTGGTTCATAAGCTTTAATGTAAAGGCTATGCCAAATTTTGTTGGAACCATGGCAATACCACGCTTCCGCCACCGATTTTGAATATTAAATTGGTCAACTTCAAAGCGAGCCTTTGAAAATTCACAAGATGACTTCAGTTGATTCCAGAGCGGACCCAATGTACCACACAAGAAAAAATCCTACATAGCCTTGGATTCATGCAAGAGAGAGAGAGAGAGAGAGAGAGAGAGAGAGAGAGAGAGAGAGAGAGAGAGATTTTAACCATCATACCTGACCTACACAAGTGACAAATTCTGAAGCAAATAGTTCCTCGTCTTCAACAACTGGTCCAATGTTATTATCAGCTGGAACATCCTTTGCTAAATATATGCCTGCAAACCCAGGTGATAACTTTGCTCCAGAATCATCGATTGAATGTATACGAGCATGAGGCTTTCTGCTGAGTATTAAAGCAGCGTGTAAACCATTAGGAGGCAATGGTGTGTCATCGGCATATTCCGCCTCTCCTGTAACCTGGTAGAAATTATGGTATCAATACCAACACCATACTGCTACTCTCTACAAGAAAAAAGGGGTGTGATATCCACACATCTTTTTTTACTTCTCCCACACCTGTTTAGTTTTCTACCGTCAAATCGGATGAATTGAAGAAGATCAACGGACATAAATTAATAAGGGGTGTGTGAGAAGTAAAAAGGGGTGTGTGGATAGCACACCCCAGAAAAATTCATGCACCGTACACAAATTTATACTGACTTCCAAATAAAAAGGACCTTCACGCCATGTAATTTCACATTAGCAATACATAAAATAATTGCGCCGTCCAACTCTCAAATGTTAATTACAAACTTTGGTAGTATAGGCCCAAAACAATACAAATTTGAATAATTGGCATATCAGAAAAAATAAAAAACAATTTGCCAGTATATCCAAGAATATACCTGAAGTCTTGCTGATAAATGAACCTCGGGAGACCCAACAGCTGTCCCACGTTTTATAACTTCATAATCTTGAGCTCCTATAACAGGTGACCGGTGAAATGATTGTACAGCAGAAAGATGAGATAATGGTACACTCTCATTGATGCAATGCTTCCCTTCCATTTGTTGAGAAACCCAAAGAAAAAATTTGAAGAAAAAGCTAACACTCAATGACTTACGAAACTCGACCATTCCACCAGGAGCATCATCCTTGAGCAATACATCTTCTTGCAGGACTTTCAAGGCACCCTGCAACATCTCCTGGTTCCAACTCTTTCCAATGAGAAAATTTTTCGTTCTCGTTGCAGAAAGAGAGAGTGGAGCGACTCCACCATAAGCAATGGATGCATCAGACACAACCCAGCCACCTCTGTCCTCAAGATGGACACGGATCCCAGCGTTCACAATTGCAATATCATCGTCCCTTCTGTGAGCTTGCTTATACTCCTTCACATACTCGAAGGACCTAGTCCAAGGTAAAAATACAGAGAGTAAAATTTCACCTCCAGCCAAATCCACCTTTCGGTAACCCAAGAAAAAGTTTTCTGCCAGGGTTGTTCTAATATTCCCTTTGCAATCAATAATCTGAAATTTCGCTCTAGAGGCCATCCAAAGAGGATTCAAGTCTGATATTGGACTGGCTGTACAGATATTTCCACCCACAGATGCAACATTTCTTATTTGCACCCCAGCAAACCATTTTAATTGTTCAACGAGGGCCTTACAAGCAGAAGTTTCATGAGCTGTGCGTTCTGTTATGACCGTTCTTAAAACTTTAAGTAGTTCAGAAAGTCTTACTGCTGAACCTATCTCTATGCCATCATCCTTCACGGTCAATTTACTGAGTTCAGGTACATGCGTAACAAAAATCAAAACCTTATATTGAATTTTCTTCAACCTCGTTTCAATTCCCACCTCAGTATTGCCTACCAATAATTTTGCATCAGGGTATTTTTCCTTCAATTCTAGCACTTGTTGAAGCCTCAATGGTCGGAACCACTTTAATCCACCAAAACCAGTCAAACTTAAATATGTCGATTTTCTCAATAATAACTCAGGAGGAAAAATAAACTCCTTGTCTGTGTATGTGCTTCCATCAATTTCACTGTACGAGACTGGTGCATACCTCTTCCTATGAGTACCACTTTCATGAGTGATGCATGAACTTTCACTTTCCAATCCACATGAACAGGGCTTTCCAGTTGAAGGGCACACAAACTCACCTCCTTCAGAGCTTAGTGCAGATGTATTAATGTATGGCGTATCATTCGTTTTGGAAAATACACGAAAAGCATCAACAATAGGTCTGTAACCTGTGCATCTACATAAATTTCCCGCAAGACATTCTTCAATCTGCTCCTCACTAGGTGGTTTCTGACTTGACCTTAACAAGGCATAGATGGACATAATAAAACCGGGGGTGCAAAATCCACATTGTGAACCATGAGATCGTGCCAATGATTCCTAGATAACATGAAAGAAAATAGGCATAGGTTAGAATCTCATTTAGGCAGGTTACGTACTTTAATGGAGGTGCCATACTCCAGACTCCCCTGCCCGAGACCCTCCCTAATCTCAAAAAAGCAATTCAGCATAACACAGTTGTCAGATAAAACGTATGGTGTTTTGACGATTGAGAAATCATCTATTTCGCCAGAGAAATAGTGACTAAATCAGAAAAAGTCTGGAGCATGAATGGCAATCAACTTATCGATCTTGTGGTATATATCAGTATACAGGATGAATTCCTATCTTACGCAACACAATTACGGTTAGGAATTCTTAAAGCACATATTGATACTGCTTAGGCTGAGGTGGTCTTCAGTGTTTGTATTTTTTCTGTTCTGTCAAAATTTCAAAACTGTATGGAACTCAACTTTACAACTTTTGTGAAACTGTACACGATCGTGAGTGCGACCTAAGTGATTTTAAGGCTTCAAACACCTTCCCTGAGTTGTTGATTATAGAATATGCTAAGTGATGTAAGCCTACAACTGCCCTCACCCAATTGGGGATTACAAAATATGCACCTTAAGTTTCCTTTTTCTCCCTCCAATTTCTTTTGCACGCTTCCAATCAAAATCCTTCCTATTCATGGCTGATTACTGAAATAATCCCCAGCAAAAGTACTTCAGAGTTGTTCACCAAAACAAAGTCCACCATGCAGGGGAATGGATGAAGAAATAAATGGCAGAACTTAAAAAATGCAGGCCAACAGGGGAATGTATTTTTACAGCAACTCAGTTGTGGCATGCACCTTCGAGCTACTGAGTATCCCATCTATGGGGGTTGTGTGTTAGGGGCTGGGTGTTTAGTAGGTTTTAGAGTGACCTGGAGGGATCTAGACTTAGCAGCAGCTAGGAATTTGATTTTCTACAAAATAAGAAAGAATCGAAATCAAAACCCCAGATTAAATGTCGTTGTTTGACCTTAGTGAAACAAATCACGTGCCCACAAGGCTTAATCCTCTTCGCAATTTAACTAAACAGAGGAATACCTCAGGTACTCCTCCAGGGTCCCCTTGATTTCATGTTGCAGATCGATGGTACACAGTAAGAGATAGCCTTTCTCTACCTAAACCACTCATGCCTCATGTATGAAACAAAAGATCCTACAGGCTAAACTAGGTAATGTATGCAGTATCATTCTGATTAACTTAAAAGTAATAACGGAGACAGGGAGCAAAAAGAAAGGAAGCATATGTTACTTGAATTGGGTGCAAGCCCTGCTTGTGGCTCCCTAGTCCTTCTACAGTAATTACGTGCATCCCTTCTACAGAATACAAAGGAGCCAAGCATGCATTGACAGCATAGTGGCTGCAAAAAGATTTTACAAGAGAAAATAAACAAAATATTTTCAGTTTGATCTGAATGTATGTGAGCGAATGTATATTTAAGAGAAAGGGAGACTCACAAACTTTTCTTCAGTTCTTTGTTGTAATGCGAAACCATAACAGTCCAAGCACCACAACCACCTTCACCACAGCCAAGCTTTGTCCCCGTCAAACCTATATCTGTATTGCCAAACAGGCAATCGAACCTAATTTGGTGTTTTCTGACATAAAGAACCAAAATGGACAACAAAATCTGGAAGAAATCAGAAATTAAGAATGTAAGAGATGCTATGCAGCGCAAAAAAAATAGACCATTCTGACATTTATTAACAGCAATCAGCTCCGTAGTTCAAGAATACTCTTCTTTCTTGTATAAAAGAAACTACAACACAAGGGACTAGGCAATCCCTAAACCATGCCCGAGTTCCCAACTAAAGAACGACAAAGCAGAAGACACAAAATGAAAACAAAACAAAAGAACAAACTAATACACAACATTAAACATGATCAAATGAAGTCCATAACAATGTCCAGAAACAAAGTATGTACTACAAACGGTCTGCATGCATCATCCCACCTAGCAGCCTAAAAATTTCCTATTACTCTCCATCCAAACAACCCAAAATATCTCCAAGATAGTCCATCTTCAATGCATCATTCCCCCTTCCTCCCTTGGATAAAACTTAGGCTTCTCACAAAGTAATGCATTAAAAGATTCCAGGGTTGCCCAAACTCAACTCCCTAATCATCCACAAACAGTAGGCATCAGGATCAACGGAGCATTAAGCAATCTAAATATTCTGCATCCATTGACCTTCCAAACTGCGCGAGAGGGGCGAAAACAGAACTGGACTAGTCTGCCAGAAGAACCATCCATTGATTTCCACGAATACTCATCCATCACTGATCTCCAATACCAAAGTGATTGAAGCTTCTTAAGAAAAACCAAAATCTCAAGACAAAGGAAAGGACCAAAGACAACCAAAGACACAAACACAAGTAGGAATACAAGAACTATGGCATCTTGTAACAACAACAACAAAACAAACTAAACAGATTACAAGACCAAACTAATCTGAACTTTTTCTCTTCCCGCTTTTCCTGGCAATCAAACAAACAACACTGGGAAAACCAAGTTGCAATTACAATTAAAATGATAAAAAGAAATGATCAAAAATCATACCTCTGAGATACTCGAGAAGGGTCAAATGGGCCAACCCTTCAGGCAAAACTCTAAGAACTCCATTGACATACAGTATGGCCTCTTTTGAGTCCTCCCCCAGTTGTTCCAGCTCCTTCTCTTCCTTCCTCAACGATCCCATAATTTTGTTTTCTGTGTTTTTTCAATTCCTCAGAACCCAATTAACTTCAATCTATGTCTTTGTATGTGAGAGACAGAGACAGAGACAGGAATCAAATATCCATGTTCAGATTCTTACAAGAAAGTAAATAAGATAAGAATTACACCGCACGCAAGCAGTATGCTGGTGTGTGCTTCAATTTCTGCAAATTTTTTTTTTCAATACATAATTTTATTAGATTAGATGTTAAATTAGTCACCGACGAAGTTAGAATCCACACGAACTTAACATTTTTCCACTATTACTTATTACTGCAATTTTCTTCTCACTCCCTCTTTTATTTTTTCTTTTTTATTGGGATAAAAATAGAATAACATTTAGTCAAAAAGCATGATTTTGACAAAAAAAAGATTAATGCACAAGTACACACTTAAGTAACTCAATCTTGAAAGAAAAGTACAAAAAACAGAAGTAGGATCTATCAAGTTTCTAAAAAAAAGTTTTTTTAAAGTATAGTAATCAGTACTTATTTAATTCATTTAATAAAATTTTCAAAAAGTATATTCCCACATATTTTATAAAATTACAATCATTGCTCCTACATTATTCTATTTGACAATTATTATATCTCATTAAATACCATATTATTTTTAATCATTTAATATATTCACAACAATTTATATAAAAGTTTACCAAATCCTTAGACACTATTACCAAACACTCAACAGTTTATTTCACAGCACGGCAAAAACAATTTTTTTTTAAAGCACAGCAGTACTCAACTAGCACGTAGTCAATTTGGATTTCAGATGATTTTAATAGGTTTTTTTGAAGTGACAAATTTCAAAAAAAATTAATAGATTTTACAATTTTCTATGAATTTTGATAGATGTATATACATTTATATGAATTTGTAAAGACTTCTCTCATAAATTTCTTAGGATTTAGTTGACTTCTAAACTATAAAATAAATTTCTTTCCAAATACACAATTTGAAAGGAACATATCAGCATATATATGTATATATAAGAAAATACAAATTCAAATATGCCTTTCCCTTTCTCATTTGAATCCCAATATGTGCCGTGACGATGAGAAATCGAGGAGCTAATAACCTGAAGTGAAAAATCAAATAATGCAAAAAAAATCCAACCAAACGCAGTCGAACAGTAGGAAAAACCTTATGAGTAGCCATAAAAAAAATATCTTTTTGTCAAGAATTATAACCTTAATTCCTTTGTTGACTGGCATGTATATTGTATCAAGAATGTATCATTTGATCTATCGAAGCAATCAATGAAATTCTTATTTCTTTCGGGCAAATGGCAAGTGATCACTATTGGTCGAGCATGGGAGAATTGGACTGGAAGAAGATGGGAGACAAAAGTGACGGTTGAGAAGTCGAGAATGAGGAGAGAGGGTTAGAAGAACATAAGCTTGATTTGAAACCTTAGGGGGTGAGGTGAGATTCATTTTTCTCTTGGTTATATATATTTGTGCTCACAAATCCAACAAAATCCACAACTTAATGAAATACTGTCAAATTTTTTTATTTATTTAATACACCTAGATTTATAATCACTCTTGAAATATCCATTAAAATCTCAGTTAACTACTCATAGATTTGGATGTATTTTTAAAATCCTCTTAAACCTATTTTGACTACACCATAATTTCAAAATCTATTAAAATCTTATAAAATCCTAATTTAATTACACCCCCCCCCTATTTTTTTCTATTTATAACATATAACATATTTTTTTCTTATCTTTTGATAAATTATCCACAAGAGTTCTAAAAAATACAGAAGTAGAGAAGTAAGGGAAACTTCCTTAATTGATTTCTTCTTTTATCTTTATATAGAGGTTTTCATCTGACATCTTATGAAAAACTAGCACACCAAAATTATAAAAAGCAAACTTGTAGTAGGCCTAATTTACTGATAGGGAGAGAGGGGTCGGCGGCATAGAGAGAAGAGAGGGATATGTATTTGTGAGGTGTGTGTTATATCATCATATTGTGCCTTTATTTATGGTAGTAAGGAAGGTTAAATCATTACCCTAATATGATTACTTTAGGACTGCAACACTCTCCCTTGAGTGTAAATGCTCAAACAAAACATCACATCAGGTCTTTAGCAACGGATAAATACGAGTCTCAAATTAAAGAAAGTATGCATTTGCAGTAAAACTCACAAAACCTCGCTATGGTACAACCTAAGATAGGCACAAAACTCAAAGACTAAGGAGAAAAGTGAGAAGTATGCATAATATCTAAAACAAACATCATACGGGACGAAAAGAGTGAACTCAACAGAGTATGATCATCTCAGGATGGGTGCTTCATCAAAACCTCATTAGGTAGCAAAAATCCAGTGGGAAAAATGCTCCTAATAGTAGGAAAAATAGTACATTAACATCAAGTAAGTATGCTTCGGGATACTCCTCCTGAGTTAAACATAACTTCCAAATAAGAGAACTACAAGCAATTCAACTCAAATAATTTACGCATGCCGATTCCTTGGAAGAACTTCTGAAAAGTAGGCTTGGGCAATGATTTGGTGAAGAGATCGGCCATGTTGTCCTAGGAACGGATTTGCTTGGCTTTAATGTTCTGATGTTGTTGTTGTTGGGGTAAAAGAACTTCGGCGCAATGTGCTAAGTGTTGTATCCTTTCTTTAGTTGCTTGTACTAGTGCTTCAAATATGTTCCATGACTGCTCTTAATCAAAAGCACTCACGCGAGGCTTCATGCAAAAGCGAGAATCTCAACATGGTTCGAAGAAATCACAACTAGCGTTTGCTTGGAAAACCTCCAAGATATTGGAATGTCCCTAACAGTAAAGACACGTTTGAGAACATGCCCTATGTGGGTTAGACAGATAACCAGCATCTTCATAACCAACGAGGTGAGAATCAAGGGTGTAGAACAAGCCCAAATCTATCGTACCCTTGACATAGTAGAAAATGTCTTTAACACCATTCCAATGTCTACGTGTAGGCGCATTGTTGTATCTAGCCAAAAAATTATCAGCGAATGAGATGTTGGGTCTAGTGCATTGAGCCAAGTACAACAAAGCACCAATTGCACTTAGGTATGGAACTTCAGGCTCCAAAATCTCTTCCTTCATCCTCCTTAGGGTGGAAGGGATCTCATTTAACATCTAGAGTCCGAATGACCATAGGAGTACTCGAAGGCTTCGCTTTATCCTCATTAAAATGTCGTAGCACCTTCTAGGTGTAGTTCAATGGATGTACCAGGATTCCATCTGAACAGTGCTCGATCTCCAGGTTGAGACAATATCAAGTTTTCCCAAGATCCTTCATCTCAAATTCCGATTTTAAGTGAACGACAATTTCCTCAAGCTCTGCAGAAGTTCCAATGAGGTTTATGTCGTCGATAGAAACTGCAACAATCGCAAATCCAAAATGTGACTTCTTGATGAACACGCATGGGCATAGTTCATTGTTCACATAACCCTGACTTGTCAAATATTTACTCAGATGATTATACCATATCCGCCCGGATTGTTTCAATCCGTAAAGTGATCTCCCCAACCTAATCGAGAGGGTGTTCCGTGGTCTAAAACTATTTGAACCAGTTAATGGAAGTCCTTCTGAAACTTTCATGTAGATTTCCATATCTAGATTCCCATAGAGATACATGGTTCCCACGTCCATAAGCTTCATATTCAGTTTTTCGAAAACTACCAAACTGATAAGGTAGCGGAATGTTTATGACGTCTATTACGGGGGAATACATCTCCTTGTAATCAATCCCAGGACGTTAAGAGAAGTCTTGTGCTACGAGACGTGCTTTGTATCTCACTATTTCATTCTTCTTATTATGCTTCCTTAAAAAAACCCATTTGTAGCTCACGAGCTTTACATGTAGTGGAGTAGGAGTTACGGGCCCAGACACCTTAGGTTTCGCAAGTGAATAAAGTTTGACCTAGAATGCTTGTTTCCAGTTTGACCAATCGATTCTATGTTGACATTCATCAACAGAATGTGGTTGAATGTTATCGCTAAGCATGATGTCAATAGCTACTATATACAAAAATGTATAATCGACGATCATCTCATTCTGATTCCAAATCTTATCTAATATTGTGTAATGGACCAAAATCTCGTGATTCTCGGGATGTCGGTTTGTCTCGTCTAAGACTTCACCGTAATCTAGAATAACCTCATGCATTGGAACAGATGAGTAAGTGATGGTTGGATTTAGACTAGGTTCACTAGTTTGTGCCGTTTTCCTCTTTCGAGGTTGTGAATTCTTTTGAACAAGAGGATCTGCCACGCTTCAAGATAGGAGCAAATGATTGGCTAGCCGCTAGTGTACCGAGCAATGTGGGAGGTGCGGCCGCCCCTCCTTTGGGGACGGTTCATCCTTTTAGGGTGAGGTTACGGCGTACATTAAGTACGTCGATCCTTGCATGTGCGTTTGCAGCGGGTATATGTGATCTCGTCACCTTTGCTAGATCAGTAAAAGCATACAACATGGCTTTGAGCAACACTATGAAGATCTAGAATACGAAGCGCTTCAGTTTCAGACTGGGCAGTTCGGGGATCTAAATGAGACAAAGTGGGAGTCGTCCACGACAATTCACAATGTTTTACAAGAACGTTAATGATCTTATCTCCCCTAACGACGGAAAGACTATCTTATCGAGGTGACAATCCACACACCCAAACACACATAAATGCAAGACGTGAGGCTTGTATCTAGTAACCAACTGTAACAATGAATGAGGTTGGGCAACGGTAGGCCTCAAGCGGACCAACATAGCTGCGTGCAATATTGCATAGTCTTAGGCAGCTATTCTTTGAACGCTTCTGCCTAGCCGTTTTGGGTATGAACATAGAGTACATGATGTTCAACTTCAATCCCAACTAACATGTAATAATCGTCAAAAGTGTGACGTAAACTCTCCAGCATTATCTAGTTGAGTATTCTTGATCGAATAATCAGGGTGGTGAACCCTAAGCTTAATGATTTGAGCTAAGAGTTTCGCAAATGCAGTATTGCATGTGGACGATAAGCAGACATGTGACCAATGCGTCAATGCATCAATCAACACCATGAAGTATCTAAATGGTCTGCATGTTGATTAGATAGGTCTACAAATGTCCCCTTGAATCCTCTAAAGGAACTTAGGGGTGTCATGAATAATCTTTGTAGCTAAGGATTGAATATTCAACTTCCCTAATAATCATGTTTTGCATGGCAGATGGTCGAGATAAGATGTTAGGTGATGCATGTGTGATACTTTGAGGATACGCCACATCATATCTCATCCGAGATGTCCCATTTAGTCATGCCAAAGCAGGAGAGTGCTATGGAACCCAAGCATAGGGCCGGCCACGTGGTGGGTCTCCACGGAACGAATGGTCGTGATGTACAAACAACTTGAGAGAAGTTCCAGCTTCTCATGAATACACTTCTGGCCATATTCGTAAAAAATGATACAAAGAAATTCATAACCATTCTCTTCAGTGGTTTCAACATGATATTGATTATCTCAAATATCTCCAAAACTCAGTAACATTCTTCTGAAACAGGGAGAATAAAGTGCATGTTTAATGGTTAATTCAGTACCATTGAACAACATTATAGGGGTCTTGTCATATCCTTCTATCAAGCTAGAAGAGCTTAAGAGGGTTGTCAGATGTGCATTTCTAGGTACAAAGTTAGTAAAATAGTGTTGCTCACGCAAGATGGTGTGCGTGGTAGCACTATTAGCTAGACAACTAACTTCCCCACTAATCATGCCTAGAAATAAATTAATTGAATCGGTCACATGCATAAATATAATTCCATTCATTCAATTAATTAATCAAGACTATAATATCCATAATTCAAAATAAATCAAAACCAAACAAATTATTCCAAAGACTTGGAAAAATTATCCGAAAAATTAAACCATAAACCTAGAAAAATAGGGGGTTCGACCACACCTGGCGGGTTTGGCCACTAGGGGTGAAAACACCCTAACATGTCTAGAAAAATAAAACTTTATTCTTCCATGGAAGCGAATGCCTATTGTCGGGATTTTCCACGTGTAGGGATTTTCTACATCTGCAAAGTTAGATTCACGATAAGAATGATACTTGGCAATAGCCTTGGGGGTAGCTCGGTATACGTGTAACCAATGGTCTTTTGATCCACAGTGGTAGCACATGTCCAATTCAGTAGAAGCCAATTGAACGGTAGTTTTTCCCTTGTTCTTGAAATTTAGGACCTTAGGGCCAAGGGTTTGGCGTTTCTGGATCAAATTTCCTCCCTTGGCAGGGCCTCTGCTCTATTAACCTTAGGCCCGTGGCTGGGGCTACCACCCATTTTCACAACCATGACGAGGTTTCTATCAGTTATGGCTGCTAGAATTAGTAGCATGTGCTTCAGGCAGACCGTTCGAGCCAGTGGGTCGAGCTTGGTGGTTCTTCATCAAAAGTTGGTTCTGTTTTTCAGCCAGAAGTAAAACAGATATCAAATTCGAAAATTTGGTAAACTTTTGTGAACTTTATTGTTGTTGCAGGACAATATTGGTGGCATTGAATGTCAAATAGATCTTCTCCAGGAGATCCTATTTGGTTAAGTTCTCTTTACACAACTTAAGCAATGATCAGATTCTACAAACTTCAGAGTTGTATTCATTCACAGTTGAAAGTCTTAGAAGTGAAGATGTTGCTATTCATGTCTTACTTCAAGCAAATAAATGTCTTTCTGGTGATCAAAACGATCGGCCAGAGTGAGCCAAAGGGTACGTGGGTCCTCCTTAGTGAGGTACTCGGTCTGTAGTACATCATGGATGTGTTTTCGGATGAAGATCATAGCAGTAGCTTTCTGAGATTCGTCGACCAGGTCGTCTCTAGGTTCTTTAATAGTAGCTCAAAGACTCTTTGTAGTAAGATGAAGCTTCACGTCTTGAACCCACTTTAGGTAGTTTCTTCGAGATACTTCCAAAGAGGTGAAATCGAGCTTGTTCAAGTTCGACATGTCCCTAAAACAGAGAGTACAACAAAAACGTGGTTAGTCATATGGAAAGCCATAGACATACAATGCAGAACATTCGGGTTCTATAGGCATGTCTATGTTTAATTTAAACATGAAAGCTACGGGTTTCATGAGGTAAGTTTTGAATGAAAACTTCGGGTTTCAAAGGCGCTAAATTCGAAACTACATGTTCAATTTAGTTATGAACTTCCGGTTCATATATAAGGGTACCTGTAAGAACATAGAATACAATATACAACTAAGTGTAATGAATTTGGGGATTACTTCAGGAACCTAAGTGTGAGTGCATCGGAACTACAAAAGATAGTCAACGGTTCAATGAAAAGAAATAATTTATTGAACCATTAATTGCCAAAAAGTGAACTTCAAGCCAATAATTTTGGATGTCTTGTTAGATTAATGGATTGCTTGTCACTTTAATTAATTTAATAGATCATAACCATCCGGGTTTGATCGTTGTAGCAAAATAATGACACTCAGGACACATTAGCTTGAATTTTTTGCTTCGAGCCAAGCGACAATAAAATTAGAGCTTCATAAGTGTTAACCAATAACGTCCCAAAAATTATAGGTTTATGGTTATGAAGCGACGATGCCAAAAACATGGCATTAGGGTCAAAAAAAATGCAGCCTAGCTGGTGGGCTGGTTGCCATGTACTGGACAAGGCTCTGCGGGTGCTGCAGGCCTATTTGGGCCACAGGGAAGGACTACAAGCAACCCAATCATGGCTGCAGGCCACAGGCCGGGATCTGAGACAAGTCCAGCAGCAAGAGTTGCTGGTTTTTGGGATAAAAGGGCGCAGGGAGCACAAGCCCAGCACGGAGGCTGGCCTGGATGGGTGCGCGCGAAGCTCAGCTGAGAATTGGCTTCAATTTTTTGGCCGGTTCTAGGCAAGCCGCACCACAAGGGCTGGCTTTTTAGTTGTGGGCCAAGGCACTAGCTAGCCCAACAATTGCTGGCGTGGGTTGGTGTGCTACTAAGCTCAGCCAAGGCTGGCTTTGTATGTGGGCTGTGGCGTGGCGAGCCTAGCAGCCAAGGGAGCTGCTGCAGGCAAGTGGAGACGAAGGGAATAAGCCCAGCAGAGCTTCAGGCTTTGCTGGAGTGAGCTAGGGCTGTAGGCCCTTTTCAAAACCCTAACCAAGTCGAATGCATGGCTGTCCTATGTGCACAGCAAGCCCACAGGGCTGCTGCAGGGTGGTCCAAACGTCGTCCAGGCACGGCGTGGCTACAGGCCAGCCAGCGTTTGTCGGTACCAGTGGCAGCACGACGGGAAGTCACGGCTCAACTGCAAAATTTCCAGATTTTTTTTTTTTTTTTTGAATTTTAGGGTTAAAAAATCCTAATTGCTTCAAATTAATTTCGACGCTTTGACTCACAAATTCCACATAGCATAATTGTGTATTGCATGAACAAGTACAAATGTTGACAAAATATATGAAAAACATATGCAATATATATAAATGGAAGGAAAATATAAATATAAGGGGTTCATGCTTCATGGGGAGTGTTTTCATGCTTCAAAGTCGTTTCAAATATCTTAATTTATTTTAAAAGAACCTGATTGGTGGAAAACAATTGAGCCTTTGATTTTGTAGAAGAGCCTCCTCCATGAACCTTTAGTTCCTTAGCTTCTGGCAAGACCGTGCTGAGAACATGTTGTAGACCTAATTTATTGAACTGTATTAAGGGCAAGGAGGGAGGGGGCCGACGACATAGAGAGAGGATGATGCAGTGTCATTATTTTACTCCCATCATTTCTTGGTCATATGACTTTTTCTTATACAGTTCCTTCAATAGCCTCTGAGCATCAGCCTTCTTTCCTGGTCGAGCAAAGGTAGAACTGATGCATAGAAGGGTACTTTCACATCGAACATACCCTTTGTCTTTCATATCAGTTAATAATCTTTTTGCCTCAACCCGATATGACTTTTTCAAACTTCTCTCCAGCTCTGGCTGCTTTGATAGCCAACACCAGCCGCAAATTAGTATGTTGTAAGTTGAAGAGTTAGGAGAGGTCCCCCCTGTCTGCATCTCATTCATAAGCTCCCTAGCTTGGCTCATCTTTCCCGCCTGAGAAAAATCACTAATAAGGATATTGTAGGTGCTAGTTTTGGGAACAAAACCCTTGCTTACCATTTCACAATAAAGTCTTATAGCTTCCTTTTTATTTCCCTTCTTACCACGACTAGAAACCAAACTATCATACGTAGAAGCATTAGGAACAAAACCTCTGTTCTTCATTTGACCAAATAACTCCTCTGCATTTGTCATCAGACTAGCACTTGAATGTCCACCTAAAAGAAGATTGTACGCTTCAATATTTGGAGAAACACCCTCAGCCAACATTTGCGAGTAAGTAGCAAAAGCCCTTTTCATATGGTTGCTTCCACAATATCCACATATAAAGGCATTGGAAGTAGCAATCTGCTAAAAATCCTCCTCCAATCATCTCTTTCAACACTAAAGTGGCTTTCATGGCCATACCTAGCCTACACAAGACAGTGATGAGATTATTATAAACATCTCGATTGAGGTTAAGCCCCATACATACAAGCTTATGATGCACCTGCAAAATTGAATCAGCTCTTCTACTCTTTGAAGACGCATCAAGCAGAATTCTATGAATAAATAAGGTAGGGAGAGAACCAACAGCCAGCATTCCATTCAAGGCATCTATGGTTTTTTCAATCTCATTTGCATCGCAAAGTCCTTGGATCAGAATGTTACAAGTGTTTGAGTTTGGAATTAACCCTTGACACTTCATCTCATGCCAGAGTTCAAAAGCATTTTCAGCGTCACCCTCTCTGCAGAATGCATTAATCATGGTATTGTATGTGGCATAGTCAGGAGCCAAACCCAACTTTTTCATTCCAGTACAAACAGATATTGCTTCATACTTCCCAAGCCTCAATAGACCATTCATTAAGACATTGTATGCAACAACATCGAACCCTATATTTTTCTCCGTCATCTCTTAGGCCAAGTTCAGGGCAACTGACTCCTGTCGCTCTTTAAAGTAACCATCCATTAGAGATGTGTAGTTAACGCGATCAAGAAACAAACCCCCAGAAGTCATATCCATAATTAATCCTTCAGCTTCCTCCTTCCTTCTGCGCCTTTTCATGTTGTTCAAAAAAGTATCAAGTACGAAATTGTTACCCTCCACTCCTCCCATGTTCATTTCATTGTAAAGATCAAGAGCGAGCTCTTGTTTACCTGCCTTAAAGCACCCATCAATTCGTGTTGCATACACAAAAGCATTTGGCAGGATATTCTTTTGCACCATCTCCCTTAATAAACTCATGGCCTCACCAAGCTTTCCTTCCTTCACGAAGCCATTTATCATTGAAGAATAAGTAATAATATTTGGGAGAATGTGGCGCTTCTCCATTTCTTTTAAGTACAGATTCTGCATCATTCATGTCTCCTAAATTGTAAAGTCCATGTATGAACGCAGAGTGGGTGATAAAGTTTGGAACAAGGCCAAGCTTTGAAATTGTTCGAAACAGGTCTTTAACATCATCAGATTTCCCAACCTTAAAGAGCCCAACAATTAAAGCAGTACAGATTACGAAATCAAAAACCAGGCCACGAACAACCATTTGGCTTTGAAGGGCAAGAGCTTCCATGGAAGAGCCTGCCTTAAACAAGAAATCCACAAGGGTAGTATAGGAGATATGATTAGGATCCACACCCGTTTCCTCCATCTCCCTTAAAAGTACTTTGGCTTCTGATAGCCTCCCATACTTGCAAAGGCCATTTATAATGGAGCTATAAGCAAGTACATCCAGATAAATGCCATTCATAACCATTTCCTCAGACAAAGACAGAGCTTCTTCAAGTCCTTGCCGCTTACTATAAGAACTAATAAGTGTGCTGTGTGTCATAAGGTTTGGTTTCAAATTCTTATCTTCAGTCTGATTGTGGCCATCGTCTCTTTCATCATTAAGGCATTCTTCATTTGTCTGAGATCTCAACATTGTATCTATAAGACTCTTGGCCCTTGCAAAATCACCCGTGCTGCAAAACCCATGAATCAGAGTATTATAAGTAATAATATCAGGAGACAGACTCTCCCCACCCATTCTGTCCATCAATTCAAGTGCCTGACTAACTTGTCCAGCTTTGCAATGTCCAGCAATCAAGGTGTTAAAACCTACAACATCCTGTGGAATTCCACCATCCACCAAATTATCCATAACCCGTGCTGCGTACTCTACCAACCCAATTTGACAAAACCCTTTAACTAGTGTATTGCAAGTATACGAATCGATTGGTATATCCCTCTTCACCATTTGAGTCAAAAGCCCAAAAGCCTGATAAGCCAATCCTTGTTTACAGAAACCACATATGACAGTATTATAGGAAACAGTATCAATTTCACCAGTTCTCAGGAAATCTAGTGCAAAACTCAAGTGTCCCACTTTGCAGAAAGAATGAATCAATATGTTGCGGGTGAAAACATTGGGCATAACCCCACAAGAAAGCATCTCAGAGTAAAGAAGGGATACTTGAGAAACCCAACCTGAGGCATTGAATTGGTAAAGAAGTTGATTCCAAAGCGTCCAATCAGGAACAAGGCCGTGTTCGCACAGAACGGAAGGCACCAGAAGCATTGGAAAATCTGCCACATGTCAAGTAAAGGTGTACGAGTATGCAGAAGAATGATGCGTAGAGGTGGGTCTTGGATGGAGGGATGGCAGAACTGTAGCTTTGAAAATGGGAAGGAGCAGACATTGGTGGATTTTGAATGGTCATGGGAATTGAACGATCCAGTTTGGCTGATGAGAAACTCAAAGGTGGAGCAATATGAAAGGGTTTGAGCTTCCTGAAGAAAATCACCACCCAAATAATACAGAAGTAACCCCAATTTTTTCTAGCTTAGTGGGACTTCACATGATCCTGAACAACAGGCAAGCCTCCTATCGTTTTCCCAAAATCCTACAAAAAAAAAAAAAAGAGAATAAAACTAATTCACGATTATATAGTGTATAATAATCAATTGAATAAGTCTTCAAACAACATGATAGCAAGTTAATGAGGATTTGATATAACCAGTTTGCATAAGGAAAGACAAGAAACCCATTAATTAAATGCCGCAAAAGTGTGTGCACATATATTACACACACACACACAATGGTAATGTGTTGAAATATACAATGGACATGATCACAAATCCCTTGGGCACCAATTCCATCAGTAAATGCATTGCAAAAAATATAAAATGGACATAATCACAAATCTTTTGAAACTCAAGCTGCAAAAGCATTATATATGCTGAGAATTTCTGAACAAATAAAAAAGAAACCAGCAATAAGAAGAGCCTAGCTCAGAAATAGTACAATATCTTACAAGCCTCTTCTCCGAGGGGATCCCGTTAAACGGAGTCCCTTCTAACAAGAGGCTTATAAGGCACACTAAATTCCTTGTATATGTATTATAAAATCACTTCAACCCTCAGTATTGAAAATATGTAAAATTAATAACAAGTCTAATTGTAAATTGTAATCTGTACATATATAAGGAATACATGTATCACACAATCGCTTCAACCCTACACGGGTATATTTCTTTGAACGATTCATAGCACTTGCATCAAAATTAACTTATCATAATTTCAAAACAAAAAAATTAATTCCATAATATCAATTCTAATTATATTAGTAAGTTGGGATTTGAAACATTTCACTGCAGAATAGTGGTGAAGGAGAGTTATAATACCTTTTTCATCCACCATTTCACCTCTACGCCTACGATGTATTTTACCCTTTTCTCTAAATTGAAAGCCGCAATCCTAGTCCAAATAAAAAACCAATGTCTCATAAGTTCCCTCTCCTACATTTTCAAAGCAATCAATCGCATAAAAAACACAAACAGGGCTCGTTTGGTACACATGATTGGAAAGGACTGGAGATGATTATCAAAGAGGATTGGAATGGATTTGAGAGAAATGGAGAGCTAGATCCTGTCCTTCTCCAATGCTTCATGAGTTTGGTGTTGCATTGGATAAGCAAATTGGACAACAGTTTTAAAAATGCTATTGAGTTTGGTTTCATGAAAATCCAAAGGCTAAAGCCAAGCTCATTAGTTCCCCAATCAATCAGTAAGTAATATATATATACACACACACACACACAGAGGATCAAAAAATAGATAATTTACCTTCTGGTTGGGCTGCAGTCGTGGAGGCTGGTGGTGGCGGAGGGGAGGAGAGAGAGAGAGAGGGTGCGAGAGGAAGCAGAGATAGGGACGGACCGGGGGAGGGATAAGATTCAGGAGGTTGACCGACACGACTGTTGAGGCGTCGCCGTCGTCGAACGGGAATCAGGTCGCCGCGGGTTCAATTTGGGTGGCGATAGAGGAAAACTCCGCTTTCCCGGTTTCAATATACACTGCGTTCGTCTCTTTCCCACCTCACTGACATGACTTGGCAAATTTTATATGTGCCAAAACTCAGCGGATGGTACTGTTCATTAACAGTGCCCACCCGGTTTTGTCCCTCTATTGCTGAGCAATTTTCAACGTTGCCCACGCGTCCTCCATTGTCTTCCACGCGTCGATCATCCTGGATAGGTCCTTTTCGATTCCATCTCTCCACTTTTCTTTTCCTTTCCATTTGCTCCTCTCAGCACTCATTTTCTCGGTTTGCTTTGCGTCTATTGTTCGCTCGAATTTTCTTAGGATTTTCATTTCTTTCTCTCTGATACCTGATTTTCTCAGTTTGTTTCCGTTGATCTTTTGTTTCTTCAGCGCATTCCATTTCTTTTTCGTCATTTTCGATGTGGATTTGAAGAGGATTTGTGAAGTGGCTTTTATTTGATGGTAAGTTGGTTTGAACGGCTTTTAGAGTTTGGGATCGTTTGGACTAATTTGGAGTTTTTTTCATTGGTGAAAAAAAAGATGGTTAACAGTAAATTGATTGTAATTTAATTTTTATTGAAAATTCAGAGACCATGTTCAGTTTTTCGGTTTGATTTGAAGGAATTTCTTGCGCAGAAGAGCTAGGGTTTCTTAGTGGTCTGCTGCTTTAGACTCATTGGTTCAACCTCTGCTGGATAACCAAAACCTGGTGTACAAACAAGACTCGAGACTTGATTAAGTAGGTGCTTTAATTAGATGAATTTATTAATTAAGCACATATTGTTTTCGTATGCTGGATGTGTAGTTTGTGTAAGAAGAGGTTGCAGTTGCCCTGGAAGCGAATCAATAAAAGAGTGCAAGACTTGAGAAAAAAAATTTGTGACACAAAGAGCAAACTCTCCAGGCTACAAGCCAAACTACACTCCTACAGGCCACATCCAATGCATCAAACGGATCGGCTTTTGAGTTTATCATCAAATAATCAACCTATTCATCAGTAAATTAACGTTTAAGTTTGTTTTTAATTTTGTTCACAAATGAAATCAACCAACTTTTCATGCCCTTTTGATAGGAAATTATACAGTAATGTTGACCACATTTTGTGTATGTTTTTTTTTTCTTTCTTTTGAGATGTACTATTCATTTATATCATAGATGATGAGAATTAAAGAAATTAAATCTTGCTTTGGATGAAAAGCTCATGTTGATGACAGGTACTATTGCTGATATCAATTGTCCCTCATTTGCTTTAATGCTGCAGGTGTCTGTATAATATATATATATATATATATATATATATATATATATATATTATGTAACGAGTTTTGTATCAGTTTGTTAATATGCATAACCAAAGCAGGTTTTTTAACACTCATACAGGTTTGTAATTCTGTGAAAAAAAATTAGGAAAAACAAGAGGTTGAACGGATCTACATAGCAAGTTAAAAAAAAAAAAAAAAAAAAAAATTAAACTCAAGAGCTACAGAATGAGAACTGGTCTGATAAAAAATAGGAAGTGAACAGATATCAGGAGATCATCAGTATGAATTTTTCATTGCCATGCTGATTGCTGCTTTTAAACCAATTGGTATAGATTCTGTTTTTAGTTTCCTTTTGCTTTATCAATTTACCTTACTTCTTTGAACCAAATGCGAGTTCTAATATTGCATTGTTAACAAAATAAATTACATGAAATTGAAGCTTTCTCTGATTGAGAAATCTCTTTTTGTTTAAATAGTATTACAAGTTTTGTGTTTATTTTTTTTTTTTTCCCAACAGGTGGCCTTAAAAGGAATCAAGTATGCAGAAGAATGGTAGGATCTTCATATCAAAGGTAGAGGTCGACTCTTTCTCTAATGTTAAACTTCTACTGTGATGTTTTTTGTTATTAAATTTTGGCAAAATCATTGTCATAAACCTTATCACGATACCAAAGAACAGGGAGAGAGATGAAAAATAGAGAGGTGTATATTTGAACGTATGTTTACTTTAGAGATTTTGGATAATGATCATGAATTGTGGTGTTAGTGCATATCCAAGTTTTTTTTCCACGCTTCTGCATACTGTTTATAGCTAAATGAATTATATTTGGGGTCTTCCTAATTTTTTAACTGTTACTCTGTATGAAGTTGTATTAATTTTTGATTCATTAGTTTATGTTTTGGCCTTTTTATTCAAGGTGAGCAATTTCAATTTCTTGGATTATTCAGTAATTATCATGAATGATGTGGAGTTGGTTTGAACGATTTCTGTGAATTTACATTTAGACTTTCTGGAATTTGGGTTTTAATTTCAGTAATTCCAAATTTTTTCATGGTCTGTACCCCTCTCCCTTCTGTATCGCTTATGAAGCTTTCTAATTTAAGTGATTACCCAGGTGATTTAGTTTTGACTGTTTTGATTTTTTATTTACTGATTTTTTTTTATTAAGGTCGTGTATTTAATTGAGTTGTAATATATAAATTCTTGCTGAATTGAAGGGTTTATCTGTGTGACGATTACACAACTACAATTCGATTAGTCGAGCATTGGTCTTTTCATCCTTGAGTTGTTCTCAGAGCATCTGCTCTATCAATGCTTTCCTGCCTTCTATTGAAAAAGGATTTTCTGCCTATGACACCAAGAAAGGTAGTAGTCTTCTCTTTCTTGGTTAATTTATTAAGAAATGATTTCCTAAGCATTCTTCTTTTTAACTTATTCGTTTACAGTGTGGGAAGATTGTTGATTATCTCATTGACACTGGCCTTCGTTGTCGGCACAAGTGGTGGAGGTCCCTTATCACTTTATTTAAGTAATATCTCTATCTTTGCACACATTTCACACTAAGTTGTTAATGGGATTGTTCCGTAACTAGATAATTGTTTCCCGGAATCTGTATTAATGTCGTTGCCATGCATTGAGCTATCTCATGAATCTTCTTATGTTTTCAGTAATTCTTTTGTGTTGCCATGTGATCGTTCAAACAGATGCACCTACATTCTTTTCCAGATTTATGGAACATAGAGAAAAGGTCCAAGTTTTTCTTTTTCTTTGTTAACAAAGATAATTGTTGCTTAATGTTTTCCTTAGCTATCCTACTTTTAGTGTAGGTCATGGAAAAATTCTCAAATTACTGCTTTGGAGTATTAGAATAGGCATGTAATGACCTGTTCCCAATTATTACGATTTTTATAATTTTTAAAAGTGAATTTACGAAAATGCCTTTCGAGACAAAGTGTTGACTTTTGTTGATTGTCGTGTCGTGTCACGTAAGGTTCATTTTCTTGGCGTATCCTCGTAGTACTCGTTGCTACAGACGCGTGGGCGCAAAAGGATTGTGATTTGGAGTTATAACGAATAGGTTATTAACGTTTAAAGCTGGGGGCATTTTAGTAAATTAATTGAGTTCAAGAAAACTCTAGATGTTTGAAGGAAAATCTCGAAAGCCACATGTGTGACCCAGATTAAAAGGTAAGAGTGTTGGGCGGTGGAGATGAAATATAAAGGAGAGAAAGGAGGGGGAACCGGACCAATGAGAAAGAAGAGAAAGAGAGTGACCAATGGGAAGAGAGAAAAAGGAGGGAAATGAGGGAAGGAGAGGAGGAGGGGGAAATCGAGTTCTCCTTGACCCGCACCATCCAACTCGTTTTCTTCATATTTTCTGCTGGTTTTCCATCAGATTTCTAGCAAATTGGACCAAAACATCAAGCCCAATCATCATCATGCTACTTCCCCTTCCATTTCCACCCACAATTAGGAAGAAATTGGTGGTATTTTTTTGGGAAAACAAACGATGGTCCGTGTGAGTGAATGACAGCGATCCGTAAATCGTGAAGTTAACTCAGCAAAACACCACCACCAATAAGCTCCCCTCAACCCCAAGAACAAAGCCCAAGCAATGTTTGAGGCGTTGGAGTGAGTTTGGAGGTCGAATCAAAACACCCAAACCTAGGGTTCTTGCGGGTTTTTAGAAATAGTTAAATTTTCTGGCAAGTCGGGGCGGCCAACCGCCACCTGCGGCGACGCGTGGGCAGAGACGTCCCCTGACCTTCCTAGGTTAAATTTGAATATTCTGATTCCATTAGTGAAGTCTGATTGACGAATTTCTGTCATTTGAACGTAGTTCCATGAAAGTCCGCTGCTTGATTATTATAGCAATCGACGATCCGACCATTAGGTTGTCACCAAACTTTGATACATTATAATACGTAATATTTAAGGATATTAGAAACTTACATATCGGGAATCCGACGTACAGATCTTCCCAATTAGGACATGTAAGTTATATGTTTTATTGATAAGAATTCTAAGACATGAGTTGATAATTGTTCTAGGCGCCGATCGTTCGTGACGCCTTGATGTTGTGCTAGGGAGTTGTAGTGCGGACTCCAGGTGAGTGGGCTTTTGGTTTTCTATATATATATATATATACACACACACGTATGTATAGTTTACGTTTTTCCCAGAAATTATTTTAAATGAAATGTGATTGAAATGCCATGTCATACTTGTGTTATATTTTAGTATATGCATTGGTGTAGTCATGTATAATGTTGCATGATGCTGCGGAGCCCGGGTAAGCTACAGGTGAGTACATTATGATGTTAGTGGTTGTGATGTATATGGTTATGTCTGGATGCATTTGGTACTCATTATCCTACACCTCGGTGTTAGTGCTCCGCTCGAGGTCAGGGCCAGCTTTCATGTGATTGTTCACCTCCCGCACCGTATGCTCACCTTGGATCGAAGGCAGGTGCCAGCCTATCGTATAGACCACATTAGGTGGTTCCGACTCGTAAGTGACTTGCGATACTTCGCACAGCCTTCACTTGATCGTAGCACTTGAGCGTATTTATTTACACCTAGCCTGTCGTACATACCATATTAGGTGGTTCCGACTCGCGTGCAGGTTTAAAGTCGTGCAGGTCACGTTAGGTGACTCCGGCTGGCATATCATTTTATATTGATTTATTTCACCTGGCTTACTTATTTTATTGCTAAGATACTTGACATGGCATATACTTGGTTTTCACTACTCTCGAGCATGATATCTATATACATATGTATTACTATTTTCTGGGAAATTATACGGGTTTTTTGGTGAGCGATTATAATGTTTTCAAAAGGTTTTTATTAAAAACTTTATTTTCAAGCCCACTCACCCTTGTTTTTGCGCCTTTCCAGGTTTTAGATGTTGGATGTTCGTATCGACGAAGATTTTGTGGCGAATCTCAGTATAGATGGCTAACTCTAAGGGTATGATCCTTACCCACACTACTGTACTTTACTTATGCTTTGACGTTGCATGTGAAACGGGCTCGTTCCCGCTTGCACTACATTCTGGTCCTTAGGCACTTTTAGGTTTAAATTTATTCACATTGTCCACATCATTATACTTTATGGCTTCGTCACCTTCCAGGTGTTGGCCAGCACAGCTCGATTCAGAGTCCTAATGGACATTCTGGGTCGGGATGTGTTAAGGCATCTTGATTCTCTTTTTTCTTTCATAAATATCTATTCGATTGGAAAATAGGCCAATGTTTTCCTTACCCACTTATTGTTCATAGAATAACTCAAGTATTTAGAGTCGTACTTTCTATGATTTTTTGTAAATGAACAGATCAAGCTCCACTCTTAACCTAGTTAGTCTTCAATCTACCAATTACTTTAATGTTATGTTTTCTAATTTGTATTTGGTCAGCCTTTCAAAATTAATGTCTGATTTCTACCATTTTTATTATTGTTCTATTGTTTTAAGCTACATATGAAGTGTTGTACATGTTAGGTAGAATTAAGAAGTGAATTAGGTGCTCTTGAGAATGCAGGGGATAATTCTATGGGTGTTAACTTGATTTTTAGATTGATTGTTTAACTATAACATAAAATCTCAATATTTACATTTACAATATTAGAATGCACTGATCTAAATAAGAGACTATTAAACCACTGAAAAAAAAAATCCTCTCTAACTGGTATAAAACCATATTCTTTTCCACCAAAAAAGACTAGGTAACCATACTTTATCCTTATTTTTTATAGTATAAACTGTATAAATTAATTGCATGCATTTTAATATGTCATATTTTTCCTTGCCTAGGTTGCTTTCTTGACAATCAAGAATAATGAAGTGAATGATTGATTTTTTATTTTTTTATGTAGACACAAAAGTTCTACGATTGTTTGTGTTTGGATTGTGTCGATTAAATCTTTTGTTTGTTAAAATCTTCTAACATTTTTAATGTAAATAATATTATATTAATCGTCTATGACATAATTTTTCTTACTGTTTCTAATTCCACAGCAACGCGTAGGTACCCATTTCTAGTTCAATCCAAAGTGCACATGTGTGAAAAGAAAAAATAAGAAAAAAAAAAATTAATTTCCTCTTACTTCTTCTACATTAGACCACTTTTGGGTTAAAAAATCTAAAATTTTTAACTTTTAACCCAAAACAGTTTTTCTCCTCTAAAACTAAATTTTGGATAATGCTAGGGAGACTAAATTTGTAAACAAAATTTTAGAAACTAAATAACATGGAATTTGATGATTGGTTTATTACTAAACGTTGAAAAACATGTTCATTCATATTGGTGACACATCATTTAGTTTGTAAATTTTGTCTTCAAATTTAGTCTCTCTATCATTACCCTTAAATTTTGAGCCTAAGATTATGAATTTAGAATAATTTTTTCTTAAAGTAACTTTCAAAAAAAGGAAAGAAAAACAAATACATAGACTATCCTATTTAATTTTAAGAACATTTTAGCCTAAACTTATTTGGATTTCAATAAATATTGAAAAATTACTAAACCAACACCATAAAACTCGTGCATGAAAGAATTTTTTTAAAATTATTTAGTTGGATTTAAATTTGGACCGTTAAATCTTTATTTTTACTATTGGATTTATTATATTTTTAGTCGATAGATTCAATGACTTCATAAATATAAAACTAAAAAGAAGTACACATATATAATAGGTCAGCTCACTAATTCAGGTAAAATCCTAGGCTAAATTTGCCTCAAAAATGAGTTTTGGGTGGCCCAAGGGTTAGAACAAGTTGGGGTTGATTTAGAATCTAAAATTTGAGTTTTACTTCAATGATTAAAGTAGGTCTTACTACGTGAATCATTTTAATATAGAGAAAAGACTTTTATTGTAAATGGTTAATGAATTTGACTTCTCACTTTAATTTCTAAGTCGATCATTGCCACACAATTAATGTGATCATTTTGTTAGGATTTTTGTAAATTATTATGGTAGTATGCTCATGTAACACACATATAGTATAGGGCCCACAAATTCATATGGAGAACAATTTTATTTGAACTGTTTATACTATAATTACCTTGTTCTCTTGCAAGTATTTTTAAGTGTTTTTATACCTACTTTTGTAGGTGATAAAAATCCAATCAAGAAATTTCAAAAGTGGGATAAAAATACATGCAAGAGAACAAAGTAATTATAATATAAATGACTCAAACAAGGTCGTTCTCCACATGAATTTATATGAATAATTTGTATTAAACTAATCCCTAATTAACTATTTAAAAATAAATTTGAGAAAAAAAATTAAGATTTAAATTTAAAAGAAAAATAAGAAACAAAACAGTTTTAAATTAAAGAAAACATATCAGGAAAATAAAACTTAATAAAACAAGGGAATTGTTATTAGCACTCCAAAAATCTCATTCTACACTCCAAACTTTCTACATTATGAAAGAAAGATACACTTGTGAGGAGTATAGAATGAGATTTTTGGAGTGCTAATAACACTTTCCTAAAACAAAGAGAATTGTTATTGTCACTCCAAAAATCTCATTTTACATTCCAAAATTTATATAATTCGAAAGAAAAATACACTTTTAAGAAGTGTAGAATGAGATTGTTAGAGTGCTAATAATAGTTCCCAAAACAAATTTTAAGACAATTATTTATGGGACATATTAGGATTCAGCTGTCGCCATTAACAATACCATATAATTTTGTCAATTACTAGTGAATTTCCACATACATGCTTTGAAGGTTAAGTGATGTTCAAGCGGGAGTGTTTTTGCTAATGCATATGTTCAAGCGAAAATGTATATCTAGCATGCAATTTGTGTGTGATGTTCAGATCAAATAAAAATATGCAAAAACTCATTAAGCTTTGTGAAAAACTCCTTGAAAAATCTTGCAACCTTTAAGAGTGTGATGCTCGCCTTTAGTGAAATTACATTTATTAATCACAAGAAGCCCTCCTAATTTTAGGATGACGTTCCAACAAAAATTGTATCAAATTACTTGTATAATTACCCTAATGGTGGACAGTCATAAAGTCAATTAGATAGTTTAAACACATTTATTAATAATTCAAAGCAAAAAAGCATCAATTCATAAGAAAATTAATAAGAATCACATATTCATACTAAAGCTCGTAACTTGGTCCTAACAAAAGAAATAAATTACACAATTACAATAAAAAGAAAAATATTATTAAAGAAGTAAAGATAGAAAACACTCTTGAAACAAATTGTCAAAGCTCTCTAAACCGATTTCTAGTCCCCCAACAACGTTCTGGCCCTCTAGGGCTCCTAAATCACATATAAATAGACTTAGAAATTTGAATCCTACCTAATTTAGGTCTCCCAACAAATACAAAAAACCAAATAAAATAATAAAACTAGGAAACTTAATCATATTCAAATCAGGTAATTTGGGCAACAAATAAATCTGCTCATTTTATGACGACATCATCATCAAATCTTGCCCAAAAGGTAGCGTTAGAAAGATCTGGATGTCCCCAACAACTTTGTACAAGGAATTTTACTCTAAAAACACTGTTTGGACAGTCAAAATTTCCAAAATAATGACCAAAACATACTAAGAATATGGTAAAATATATAATATGAAATCGTCTCATCAACGAGCGAGGGTTCATTGGTGGTTTCTCACACCCACTTCTGTTAATGTAGGAAATTTATTTCTTGTTAGTAGCAAAGTATCCATTCTACTCAAGATGAGAATATTCTTACCATTACTGCACTTGTATCTATGAGCTAATACTGCATGCCTTTATAATAAGGGTTCATCCCACAATGTGCACTCTTTTTCTTGGTTTAAATTAGTTCTAGAATTTGATTTTAATTTAGTCGCACTTTTTACACATCATTTGCATATTTTGACTTCATTACCTTTTAGGTGTTGGTCAACATGTTTCGATTTCAGTATCCACTTGGATATCCAGATCGAAGTGTACTGTGTATCACTTGACAAAAAAAAAAAATGTGCATACATTCATAGCTAGCAACCGAAACTCATTAAGAATTTTGGTTACGTTCTGCTAAACGTTGGTTTAGCAACTAGCACCACCATTACTACAATGTTGTTGTTCATTGTGGGGTATTTTATAGATTTGGAGAAGAGTTAACTAGCTAAGTCAATCAAGGCGTTGCGTGGTGAAATCAATATTATAATAATGAGCGTATAATTACTAGGGATATATTTGCTAGCCACGAGTCTGATGTCTCTTTGCAAAACTTTTGACATCTGTAGTATGACTTAACTGAGAGACAACTTTGTTAAATTTTTTATTTGTCATTTAAAAATTTAAAAGAAAAAATTGAAATACTTGAGTGTATTCCTACTCTGGTGTCAATCTCCTTTTAAATACAAAATAAAAAAGTTAATAGAGTTATCTTTTAGTTCGGTTATAAGACTGATGTTGAAAAATTAACAAACACAATGGAGACAATAAATGGGGGGACAACAGACTTATGGCCATTTTTGATAGGTTTGTCAGGTATTTTAAGTTAATACATAAAGTTCTCTCTCGTTTTGGTGAGAGCTTTTCTCTCTCTGTGAGAGAGTTTCTCTCCGGCATGTGAGAGTTTTCTTCAATTTTCAAGCTTGCTTCTTCAGTTTTTTCTCACTTTTGCTGCCGCCGATCCTAGCTATGGCTTGGGTTGTTGGCAGCCCTAGTCCTTCCTTCTCCTTTTTCCTTTGGTCTATCTCCTATGTCCTTTCTGGATAGCTTGTATTTCCAACTTGGATCCTTGTTTAGATCTATCCAATTTTCCGGTTTCAACTCCCGTTCTTAGTCATGTTCTCGATACCCAGTTCAAATGTGAAATTTCCTCTGGTGAAGTTTCAATTCTGCAAGGGAAGGTGTGTAGAACTTCTGTTCGGGTCTTCGTACTGCCATTTTTCGCTGCAACTGTTCCAATGGACTGTTCTCCTCAGTGATTGAGCTTCGATTTGGAAGCTCCTTGGGTGACAATGCTACGACTGGAAGTGTGAAGTTTATTTGGATGACTCGAATTGTGCGCAAATTGGGGCAATTTTGGCAACCTTGGGGATGGATGATTGATTTCCATGGGGTTCCAGCGGTAGTTGTGTATGGATTCCAGTTGGGGATTTTTTTTTTCTTTTCTGGCTTGTTGTGTTAGGGTTTGTTTGGGCCGGGGCTTATGCCTTTTGGTTTGGGTCTTTGGAGGAGGGATTTGTGTATATTGTGGGGTTTGTGTATATTTTAGTTCTTTGATGAAAGTTATATTAACATAAAAAAAAAAAAAGTATACAAAGACTGCCTTGAATAAATGATGCTTGAAGCAAATGACATCTTTGTAACGACAAACACACAACAATTCTTTCTATTTATCAGTAAGAGAAACTCGAAAAGTGAAGAGTCGACTCTCAAGCACTCATACTAATTCTAGTTTACAACATGTTATAAGCACGCAAATCTCTTTTAATAAATTTTCGACCATATCTAAATTATAAAAGCATATACGGTGTACCGTCTTATGTTCCACTTACACAAAAATGGTTCCTCCTAGTTTGGGTCACTTCTTGCTTGGTTTGTAAAGTTGTAGTTTTCGTCTAATTTGGGCTTTCGGCCCTCTCAGCTGAAAATTCCAGTAAGAAAGAAGGAACCCTGAACCTTCCCTTGAATTGAATCCTTG